TGTTTTACTAGTTGTCTCATTAAAAACCTATAACTAGTAAACGCAATAGGAAAAACTTAGTTAAGTAAACAAGAGTACAACACTGGTCTTCAGGACCTAATCCAGAATTATTTTATATTTATTCCTCCCCCTGATGACAGTAGTCATTCCAATTACGCGTACCAATACCATAATCAAAGTAAACGTAGAAAGAAATTTGGTGAATAGGTCTGACAAATTCTTGCTAAACGATACTTTTTGTACATCTCACCGCTCTAGGACTCATGTGTCTACAAGAATTTTCGAGCGATGTGTTTTGTCATGTTTCATTTGACATACCCACTATTAATTTGTGAAACACAAGTTGCAATGTCCAAGGATATTGGGGGCTATATTATTTGTTGTAATTCCACAGCCTACGAATATTTGCCATATACATTCTCGTGAAGTATTAATCATGGGCTGTTTGACCGACTTCCAAGAGATTACAACACCACCATAGAGAAAAACATACCTAATATGAGATTTGGCTTATGGAGATCAGACATATAGCCAATATCCGAATAGTATATAAATGTCATTTCTTGATTGTTCTTATAAAGTAAACCAAGATCTTGTGAACCTTCAAGATACCTAAAAATATGTTTAATATCATTTCAGTGTATCCTTTTAGGAGAATAATTGAACCTTGAAGTTTACTGTCAATGTAATTCAGACTTGGTGTAATTTATGAGATAAAGTAACACGCCAATGGATTCAAGTGAGGAACTTATGTTCCTCTCGCTTGATCCTGTGAGTGAACCTTCTTAAGACCCTTCTGGTAGGTACTTCCCCTACCCGAACTCCTTTCCTCGTGGATTAGCTTTTGACCCCCGAGTAGCCCAAAATATGCATGTTAATTGGCCGGCTGGAAATGGCCATAGGAAGAACACATGAATTTTGTCATCCAAGTTGCTTAGTTCAGTCCTTAAGATGCTTGGTCTTCATCTTGGTTGTCTTTGACTCTTGTTCCTTAACTATGAGGACTTCAACTATCATCATTCATAGCAGCCCTTGTAGGCAGCAATCTAACTAAACAAAAAACCTTATGAGATCTGACTCATTTAACATTTACGTAGTAACCCTTTGCTATAATTTTATTTTTCTCTTTTTATATTGTATATAGTTATATCTATAAATTATAATGTATTAGGAGTTATAACAATTAAAACAAAAATTCAGCACACTTTCGTTGAATGATAATGAAAATACTCAAAAGCTATATTTCGTTTGGTGGAGTAGCTAATTTATGAATGGGGAAATTTTTTTTTGTTAATGATATTGTTGCTTATATAAAAACATTATGAACAACATGATCCATTACGAAAATGGTAGCTAATTCAATAAATTAGAAACAGACATTTTCATTTTTGATTTGGTTGCTATTATTCAACTATTAGAAACGGTTTTGCTTGTTGTAAAAATCATTGCTAACAGTAATTAACGACCTGTTTAATGCTTTCGAGCATTATCTTTTGTTTCACTAACCAATTATGCAACAAAATTAATCTGTTTCTGTGGTATATTAGTAACAGAATACGACCTTTTAGTAATAATAATTTTTGTTTCTAAACCTTCCTATTCTAGTAGTGTTATATTTTAATTAGCAAGAAAAAAAATGCTTTTCCAAGTTACTTTCTTCTCTTTTGTTAAAACTACTGTCATTCTTAACTTAAATTTATCAACTTGAAAAAATATATGTTTTACTTTTGCAAAGTGTTTATTTATTTTTATTTTTTGTGATTACTCCGTGATACCATGCATTTCTAATAGTAGGAACGCTTAGCATGTTCTAGACATGATATATTTTTTGCTTTAGTTGATTGCCGAATTGTGTAGCAAAAGCAAGATGAAGATTATGTTGCATGAATCTGTTTGAGAATTTTCTTTGGGTGACCAGAAAAAATAAAAGTTTGTGGGCTAAAAAGCCACTAGCTGTTGATGATTGGATACAAACAAGACTAGTCAGTTTCGTATGTAAGCTTTTTTTTGAAATAGAAATGATATTATTTAAGAATAATAGAATGATAGGTGACAATGTGTGACAGAAGAAAATTATTCAGATGATCATTTTGGCAAAATTTTTCTGCTAAGTGTTCAGAGTCCAGGTTGGAACTAAGGGCGTTATTGGATACAAATTTATCCAGTTGTAATTGATTAACTCAAAATTTGACTAACTCAACTCTGCTCATTATTATCTCTATACATAAGTAACATCAATCAATAACCGTCCCACGATCATATCAATTTTAATTCATTATTTATCTGCTCACATAATTTTAAATATTTATATCACTTCAAATAAATTATTTCATACTTTTACATCACAATAACTTTAATCATTATATTTTAAATATTGTTCAAATACAACTTAAAAAAAATTCCACTCAATCAACTTTTAATTTTCAAACTTAATTCACTTTATCCAATAAATTCAATCAAATCCAAAATAATTTATATCCAGTCACCCTTAAGAGTAATTATTTTTTTTTTTAAAAAAAAAGAAAGCTGAAAAGTTTTAGCTATATGTGCTGGGTAAAATATATTGTACACCCTTATATATTAAGCGAAATTTGCGTGTCTTTTTCATGTATTTTGGAAAATGCACAAAACCCTCTTATTAGGTTATGCTTGCACGATTACCCCCTTACTGTCAAACATAACGGTGCATACACTACACGCACAACTTATGCGACTATTTTTATTTAATATAATTTATTATTTTACCATCTTACCCTCTATGACTTCATCAAACAATATTAAAAGGGTTATGCTACTTTGACATTTTGGTTTACAACCTTGTTTACAACCAAGTTGTCATGTACAAATTTGCCCTTATGCACAATTCAAAGTTTTTAGCTATTTTCAAACTTTGAATTTGTAATATCTTTACCTGTTACCAGGTTCTGATACCATTTTCTCTTGGGCACACGGATCAAATGAAAACATCATTTGAAACTGTGTTTTATGCAGAATAATTTCGAGAGAGATGAGACTCTGCTTCGATAAATCCGTTTTTTATGAACCTCAAATTCTGGGGTTGTAATGGATTTTTGTTTTGAACGAGTCGAATACTATAAGATATTCTTTCGATATCTAAAGCAATCAGATTTTTATCGCAAGTTTGAATCAAAGTTCGATACATAGCTTTCAACTTTTGAATAGTTGATTCTAAAATAAATTCCCATGGAATGGCTGGCATTATATTCTATTGTTCAAATCTGTAACCTGATGTTGCAAATTATATACCATGTCTCTGAGTTTTATTTCTTTAGAAAATTCTTCAACTGGAGGTGTTATTTTCTGAAGAACTTTGAAAACATTTTCTTTTTCTTTAATAACACTAGAGTTTTCTAGGTTTCTGCAGATTGGGGTTTTTAGAGACAAAACCTTATTAAATAATTCATCAATAAAGATGCGATCTTTATGCATGAATTCTATGCTGTGGTGCGAATTACTCAAAGCATAATTAATTTTATAACAAATGGAAAACGAATGATTTCCTTGTTTCATAAAATCTTTTTTTTAATAATTTATTATTTAAAATTATAGATCGATCAAGATTTATATTTTTCAGAGAAAGACCAATCTGAAGATTTATATCAAACTTGATTTTGCCCATTTTAAGATTGCCAGTTCCCTCACCAATCTTTGATTCGTTAAGATTAATCAGACGATTATCTCTTAGTATTAATTCTAAAGGGGAATTTATCCCTTTCAGAAAAGTACTTTTAATTATAATTTGAATCGTTGAAATATGAATGTATTTCATTCTGATTCTTTCCTTTTTCGGTAACGATAAAATTCGTTTACGGATTTGGTCTTGATTTATGGTAGATAACAAAACACTACCATCTGTGTTTTCAATCGGAACAACGACTTCACCGGTCATTATACCAAACTTTAAAACATTTTTCTCGGGAGAAAACTCTTTTCAAATCCTGTTTAAGGCTTGTTTTGAAATTCTCATTTTCCTTGATGGAAAAGTCAGATTTTTCAATTTTTCGGCAAAGTAGAGCATCTATGAGAAACTCATTTTGATCTTCGATTTGTTCGATGATCTCCATTTAAAAAAGATTTCCAATGGTGTCTTTTGAAAGTTTTATTCTAGGATGTTTTAAATCCCCTAGTATTAAGAAGTTAGAAGTCATCTGATATTCAATTTTTTCTAAGAAATCGGTTCCAAGAACAAATTTTTTAGAATTTTCTTCTACGAGGAGTGAACAAGTTATCATCTTGATTCCTGATAATTCAAACTTTATCTCAGTTCCTTGTGTGAAGGTTTCTTAAACCCTTCAGAGTTTTTTAATAGTTCTTTTTGGAATATCAAACAGAATTTCGAGAAATTCAGATGATATGTATGAGCATGTTGTACTGGTGTCAATTAACACTGGTACTATAATATTTTTATTATCGATGCAGATAATGCTAACGATATGATATTGAAAATTGTAAAAACAATTTATAAGATCCATTTTTACCTGATGTGGTTTTTCTTTATCTTCTTCTTCTTTTGGAAGATGAAGTTTTCTTCTTCTTTTCCTTGCGGATTGTTGTTGTGGTGATCTCGGATGAAATTTATGATTTTGGGTATCTCATGAGGAGATGTGTATTTTTTAGTTGTCTTTAAAAGACTTTTGTTTTGGATAAGAAGCCTAGGTACCCACCCCTAGTGGTTGTACAGGTACTATCCCCTGCCGGAACTTGCTGCTTCGCAGAGCACAAGTGAGAAGAAAAGTCTTCAACTTAATTACTTCTGTTTATTTCATTACACAAGGGAGCCTTTTATAGGCATTACAACATAGGGTGACCGATAACCGGTAAAACCCTTTATACCTAATACCGCGTAAAAAGATAAGATGAGAACAAACACGCGTCCTCAATTATTAAAGTAAATGGTCCACTTATACAGCTGTGGCCATTATTTACAATAGTGGTCCACTAAGGAATCCACTTTCTTTTCACAACCACTAAAGTCTACATTATTGCTGTCTGAGTGGTTGGAATGGGGTCTGCGCCTGTGATGCTGTCGGTTTTGGGAATGTCATTGCATGTTCACTTTTTTCTTCTCCATTGAGCGGAGGGAAATCCTCTGGACATTGAGGGCATTTGTGAGCTTCGTACTTTCGCAACTTTTCACAAACCAAGTGTTTGAATTCTTCAAGCATGCTTGCAAAGTTGCCATTTATTCTGATTAAATCTTCTTCGAATTTAATCATCTTATTGACCATCCCTTCGGTAGCCTTCTTACCAGTCTGAGATATCACTGCTATATTTTCTGCTTCAGCAAGGACCTTGAAGCCAAGCTGAGTTGTTCCCCATTGATTACTATACCCATAGAACTGGAAAATTTGTTCTATGAATAACTTATAGGTGAACTTTATCGCCCTTTTCTGGATTTCTGGGTAAGAACCATTTGCCATGCCCATTTCGACAATGTGTTTGGGCTTTATGATGATACCTTCATCAAAGTAGGGATAAGTACTCTGAAATTTTAGGTATATCTCTTTTCCCTTGGCAAACAACTTATTGAACTGGTTAGCCATCTGTCTTATGCATCTGGGTAGTTCCTCGAGTTCCGCATAATTCTTCTTTTCGCTTTCTTGGAGATAGATTGTTGAAACTAATCCATTCCTAAAGAAAGAATTTATGATGGTGGGACTTGCTCCTGTTAAGAACACTGCTTTTGCACCGGTGACTGAATTGATGGGAAAGAAACACTCCTGAGTGAACTCTTTGGTGTATTCCATCAACCATTTCCAATTTCTATGGAATTCGACTTCATTTGGCTCCGTCGTTTCTTCCTTTAACTGCTTTTGGATCAGCTGTTGAGTAGCTATCCTTTTGCTGTATCCCAAAGATCTGTCCGTCTGGAGATCTGGATCTGTTGAGACTGTCTGGTAAGCCTTTTTGTAAGCTTTCAGAGCATCCTCGTGGGTTGGATACTTCTGGTGTCTGACTGGCTTGCCGACGATATGTAACTTGGCAATGTTCCAGTTTTTGTAAACGCCTTTCATCGGACCATCAAAGATCACATAGGCTTCTTTTGAGGGTGAATCCTCAGTTTGAACCTTTTCCTATTTAGGCGGAGGGTTCTTCTCCAATGTCTGTGAAGACAGTCTTGAGGTTGAAACCTCTTTTTGAACTTTTTCCTTTTCAGGAGGAGAGTTCGTCTCCTTTGTTCATTGCTGGGCTTGGACCTGTGCAACTTTAATTGGCTCTGAAGTCTGTACTTCCTTCTGGGTTTCTCCCTCGTCTTCTACTTGGTCTGCCCAAGATTTACTGGAATGTTGAAGTTTTTCCAGGTTTTTTTTATTGTTTCTTCAATCTCCCCCCTCTGCGAGAAAAGAGAGTTGAGTCTTTTTTGTGCAGCTTGGATTTGTTCATCCTTCTGCTTTAGCTGGTGCTGAAGCTGCTTCATTGCTTGCTCCATTCTCTTATTAGTGTGTCCGCGAATGGATTTTTCTCCGATTTGATCAACTCCAGGTATGGCTGAAATTGTTGCAGTCGCAATTGCCACCGTATCAGTCTTCCGTTCCTGTAATCGGTTCGGATGTTATATCTCCAAAAATCTGCAAAGTATTTGGAATCTGTTCGTAATAGAAATCTGGAGGATAGTAAATCTATTTTCTATTTTTCTAATACACGGACTCCTGCGAGAACTTCAAGTTCCGCTATTGGATATCGGGTTTCAGTGTCACTAAAAGTTCCACTGGTGTATCTACACAATAAGAGTTGTTTTTCAAACTCTGCCAGTATTTTTAGAAGTCTATCGGATAAGTCGGTTTGTCCGGATAGAGCTATAGTTTTGCCTTGCTCATCGAGCGAAAGCTTTTTCTTCCCATTGGGAAGAGCCCTCATACATCCTGCCCAAACATGCTGTGAAGCATCTGTTTCAATGATTAGGAAGTCATCGTTGGTTGGATTGTAGAGTTGAGGCAAGGTAACTATCATACTTTTGATCTTTCTTACGACTTCAGAATCTGAGTCTGTCCAAGACCATGGGACTTTGTCTGAAAGTTTCTTTTGCAAAACTTTTCTTTCTGTGGATAAATCTTTGAAATATCCTTCATTTGAAATATAGTTTAAACATCCCAAAAATCTTTGAATTTGTTTACGATTTTCGAAAATATCTGGAAAAGCTAGAATCTTTTCCTGAGTATGGGGTGATAAATCAATTTTCCCATCTCCTTTGATAATTGTTCCAAGATATTCAATTTCTGTTTGAACAAGTTTTGATTTTTTCTTTGAAATCACAATTCCTTTTTCTTAGACTCTTGTCAAAACTTTTTGAACATCGGAAATATGTTCTTCTCTTGATCCTTTGGAAAATAGAAGGATATCGTCAATATATGTCAAACAAATATGTTCAAGTCCTTCGAGGGACTTATCCATAAATCTTTGGTATATACTGGGAGCCTGTTTTAGTCCAAACGATAAAACATTCCATTCGTAATGTTTTTGCGGTGGACACAAAAAAGCTGTTAAGGGCTTAGTTTCTTCACTAAGTCTTAGCTGATAATAGCCAGATTTAGTGTCGAGACTGGAAAATCATTTTGACCCTTTTCTTTTTTCAAAAATAAAGTCCTTTCTTGGTAATTTGTAAGAATTACCAATAGTGGCTTTATTCATCTTTTTGTAATTGATAACCATACGCTTTTTATCACGTTTGATTTCATTATGGTTTTCAACATAGAATGCCGGTGTTGAGTGAGGACTCGCACTTTCTCTTATCAAGTCTTTACTGAGCAAATCCTGACATTCTTGTTGAAATTCTTCAACATCTCTGATAGTATAAGGTATCCTATTAGGAACATTTACTTCCTTATGAGGATCCTTGAGTTTTATCACAACCAACTCTTGGTTTGTGTTTTTCAAACTATCGAGAGGATGATCAGAACATACCTCTTCGAGACTTTGTTCAATGGTTTTGTAAAACAAAATGCTTTCAAGTGTAATTTGAATTTGATAAAACTTTTCGGAAACGATTTTTACTAACTCATTTCGAGTTAAAATTCTTGTAGTAACAAGTTTTCTTTCTTTTGGATTAAAAAGGTTTTTCCAATTTAAAGAAACTGTATTTGCTCTTTGAACAAATGGTTCGTAGAGTTTTAGAAAATTGTTTCCAATGATTAGGTCTAGGCCTGAATCATGGAGATAAATAGATGGTACGATGAATTCGTATCCTTCTATAAGAATCTTTTGATTTTGCAAAACATAGTGAATAAAATGTTTTGATTTATCAGCAATAATAATTTCCTTTGGGGAAACTAGTTTTCGCCATTTGTTTGAAATGGACTTTCGACCAAAGCAAAGGGTTGCGCCTGTGTCGATATAAGCCAAAAATTGTTTTTCTCGAAGTGAGATTTTGATGAAGGTAACACTAGGGTTATTCTTATTCAGAATCTTCTTCGTCATTTTCTGAAATATGTTCAAAAATTTCTTCATCTAACGAAATATCAGACTCAATTGGTTCGTAACCAAGATCATAAACCATTTTTAAAACTTCAGTTTTCTTTGAAAATTTCTTTTTAGGGCATTCATTAGCGTAATGACCTTTTTCTTGGCAAAGCCAACAAGTGCAATCCTTTTTACCTTGAGGACATGCATCTTTTCTTTTGTAAGATTTTCGAGAGTTGTTTCTCCTGAAATATCTTTTGTTTTTGTAAAACGATTTTTTATGCTTTTTAGGAGAGATTCTTTTAAAAAAAAATTTCCTACGCTTTCTTTTGAAAGGTTTTTTGCACCCGTATTCGGATACCTTTTCTTGTAGCTTATTACAACATAATCCAACAGCGGCCTGTCTTTTAGCCATCTTTTGGTTACATTGTTCAATAAGCCAAATTTTCAAAGTTGTTATTCTACCACCAAGATTATTATTAACCTTGTTTGCAGAAACATTTGTTTGAAAATACTCATTTACTTGGGTTGAAACATACTCAGGTAATTTTGCAAAAAACATTTGATCAACCTGCTTGGTTGTTCTGTCAATAGGTTCTATATTGTAGTAATATTTGCTAAATTCACAAATATAATTATCAATATAGCACATATTGCATATTTTTAAATTAACTATCTTCCAATAGTTAAGGTTTGAAAATGCAATCTCGCTTTCAATTGTTGGTGTTCGTCCAACAAATTCTGAAATAAGGAGTTGATAAACCCATCCTCCGACATCACTTGGATTAGCAGGAAGTTGGTCTAATAACTCAGTTGGAAGCTTGCTTAAATATTTATAAGCATTTCCTTTTGTTCTGTGTAACAAATAATTGAAAATATCAAGAGAACTTAATCCCTTTAATTCTGTGTTTATTTGTAATAGAACCGAATTGGTATTGTACCAATCTCTTATTGTTGTATTAGTATCATCAACACAGTTAATATCTAACGTACCTGGTCCACCATTTATATGGTGTTCTGGGACGTATTTTCTTGGAATTCTTTCGAACTTCTGACGATAGAATTCTTTTTCTTGCCCAATCTTCTTTTTCTTTTGAACGGATTTTTTGTCGACTCTCCCTCCTCAATTTTGACATTGAATGGGTTGTCTGCTGGTTCGTCTTCGAATTCATCGTCGGAACTGAACCCATAGACTAAGTCGTTTTGATTTTCTGATTTTTCGTCATCAGAATTTTCATGATTTTTGCCTAAATCAAAGGCTGCCATGAGTTTGGATAACTCATCCAATTGTTTTTCCAACATATCTTTGCTTTCCTCTTCTTGACTCATAGGAATCGAATAGGCGGTGTAATCCTATTCAGTTGTTTTTCAGGAGCAACTGATGGAAGAACAATGTCTTTTCCTTTTTCTAGCTTCTTAATTAAAAAAGCTAGCATATCTGATATGTTATTCAACTGAGGGTTAAATGTATGATATAGATGAGGCCATTTGGATGAATCCTGTAAGCACCCATGTTTCTCTTCATTTCTTATTTTAAAAAGAATGTCTGGTTCGGCATTGCCTTCTTCAACAGATTAGTTGAAATATTGATTTTCAGAAAACTTTTCCTTTATTGCTAAAAGATAAAGGTTTTGTTGGGTAATCTTTGCTTCGAGAGCATCTACTTTTTGAAACAGTTTTTGAAGAGTTTGAGTAACCGGTTCTTTACTCATATTTAATTATCAAATCAAATAAGGATATATTGGTAAATTTGTAACCAAAACTTTGACAAAACTTGTAAGTTATACACCAGGTTGTAAACGGTGTTGTTCATTTAGAAATTTCCATATTAAAATACATACCAAGAGGTTGGTAGATAGACCCTCCAACCACTACCCAAAGGGAACTTATTAATGATTCTACTACAACAATTTTAAGTGATACTGATACCGCATAAATAAATAAAATTAAGTACTTTTATTACAAACAATAAAAAATTTAGAATAAGATAAATTCAGATAAATTCCAGTATATCAGAAAAATAAAATTTAAAATTAGATACTTATTTTAAAATATCATAGAATAAGATACATAATAACAAAAATAAAATAAAGTAAAGTACATTCAAAATAAATTAAAAAAATAATTATATAAACTTATTTTCAATAAAAAATACAATTTCATAAACAAGAATACGTAAAATGAAACATAAAAAAATTAAATAAAATGAAGCTTATAATTTAATATTAAAATAATAATTTTTCAAAACCAAGTGTTTTATATTAAATAATTGTATAAGGTTTTTTCTTTAAAAGAATCTCTACTTTAATTTATAATCAACATCTATAATATATTTCATTTATTTAATATATTTTAAAAGCTTTGTATAATATATATTTTTATTTTAAGTTTATATATTTGTGGATCCTAACAAAAATAAAATTATTTACATTTTAATTTATTTTAAGAATTTTCAATTATTTAAATTTACTTTATGTAATTTTATTTTATTTTATTTCATTTATATTGGAGGTTAGTCGCCAACAGTTATGTTTACATTTATGAGGGCGGTTTATTTGGGGATTACACTATAATTTATTATTGAATGTAGGTAATAAATGACGTAAAGAGATTCACAGAAAATAGAAAATATGCTGTAAAAATAGGGCATCCACCAATTTTGCCGATCTACTAGGAAGATAAAAAAGCAGAGCATTTTCTACAATTTTTTATTGAAAGGGTGTATAAAGGCTTTTTACAGGATGATATGCGATGTGTTTGTTGTAATTGCAATGTGCGATATGCAACGTATGATTTCAATGCTCATCCTAGCTAGGACTGAAGGGGTCGAATTGGTAGAAGAAAAAGCTAAGGGCGTAATAAATGTTTAGTCGCCTAGGGTTGTAGGGTGTGTCGTGTGTATTTCATGCATGTCTCATCTTTTGAGGACGGGTCATGTTTGGGTTGTCACTTTTGTAGTTCTGCATTCACACGAGGATGAGATCGACAAAACTTCGAGAGGAAGCCTTAGAGCGGGGTCGGCATTTTCGTGTTGTGGGATCGTTCGTTTTTATCAGTGATACCAGTGAGATCGCCCCCCTCTCTGGCTATAGATTTCTTCTAGGCACTCGTTTGGTTTGATCTTGATGGGCTGATCGGAGGCTTAACAAAAAAAAATTATGTGCAACAGTTTATACTTATTATAAATGTACGAACTTATTTTAACTTACAAGTGTTTTATTTTATTTTCGTTAGTATTTAATAAACAAATTTATATTTTCTTTTAAATTATTGAATTTTATTGATACTAACATTTTAAATTACTTTAAATTTATTTATATTAACATTTAAATATATTATTTTTATTTATATTAATATTTTAAATTTTACTTAAAGTATTTTAATTTATTTATATTAATATTTTAATTTTAATTTTATTAATGCATGTTCTAGGTAAATAAGAAAGGCCAATAAAATAACATTCTCATTGGTGATGGAGTGGTTATGTTGGTGCCTTCCATGCTTAAGGCCACAATGTCAGGACCTATTTTTTTTAATTAAATTTCTCGCAATATTTTAAAAATATCACAAAAAATTATTAAATCCTTAATATATCGTGAAATATTTTGAGGGTATAACAAGAATTTTAATAAAAAATAACGCTATGAGTTGCCAAATATAAATAATAAAAAAAACAGAGAGAAAAATTGTGCAAGCAAAACCTAAAATATGAGGATGCTTGGATACAAATTTACTCAAAAAAATCTAAATATTTTTAACTCAACTACTTTTTTTAACTCAACTTTTTTTTTTAACTCAACCCCACTGTCATCAATATTATCAATATAATTAAATAATATCAACCAATAATTTTAACACATCACATCAATTTTAAATCACTATTTATCAAATCACATAATTTTAACTAGCCATCACTTCAAATCATCTATCTCCTACTTTTACATCAAATCAAATTTAATTATTTTATTTTAAATATTATTTTAATATACTCACTAACAACTAACCATACCACAATTTTCAAAATTAACCAAACCAAATCAAAAAAATCCAATCAAGTAAAAAAAATTATATCCAAGCATCCCCGGTTTCATGCATTTTTTAAACCATATGAAAAAACGCGCAAATTTCGATTATTCAATCAAGGACATTGTGCATTAGGATATTGTGCATTAAACCCGTGATTGTTTATGGATTCAGCTAGTTTTTATTTGGTTTGTTTTTTAACTATAGCTAATTTTAAAAAAAGGTAGTATGGTTAGTTGTTAGTGGATATATTAAATAATATTTAAATAAAATAATTAAAGTTGATTTGATGTAAAGTAAGAGAAAAATGACTGGAATTGATGGTTAGTTAAAATTATGTGAGTGGATGAATAGTGAATTAAAGTTGATGTGATGGGTAAAAATGATTGTTTGATATTATTTAATTATATTGATAAGATTGGAGATAGTGGAATTGGGTTAAAGTTGAGTTAAATTTGAATTTTGATTAGTTTTTTCAATGTTCAAACCATATCCAATCGCCCCCTAAAGCCCGCCACATTTCTTTATTTTTTGGCTAACTGGCGCACCTGTATACGTCACAAAGTTATATTTTCTATCTCGTGAAGCAAGATTTTTTTTTTTTAAAAAAAAAAAAAAATTCGGATCATAATAAATCATTAATATTTACAATTATCCCATTTTGAGTAAATGTTAGTATTACCATGAATGCATCACTCTTGTTTTTGTGGTATTAAAATCTTAATACAATATAAAATTAAACCGGGAATATCTTTTTCACTCCAAAAATGAATTATATTTTTCTTTTACATTGTATATTTTCAAAACACTTCATTTTCAATTTAGATTGTGTGAAAAAAGATCGCACAATATGATGACACAATGACTGCACAATGGTCGCACAATATAATCGAACAACAATCACATCATATATTGCATCACATCATCGTACAATTGATCGTATAATTTCCGCACAATTAAAGGTCACATAATGATCGCAATAATCAATCGCACCTTGTGAGTTAAAAAATATAGTTTTCAATTTGTCGGGTGAAAAACCCAGTGCATATTTCAGGGTGAAAAGAGATATTTCAACTTGTTAGACACTTTAAAACTATGAACGTATACGTAGGCTTACATTTTCTCATTAACATAAGTTAATACGGAAAAAAAAAATTCTTTTTCCAGACCATAAATTTTTAGACCACAAAATTAATAAACTTTGTTTCAGCTCAGATATTACATCAAAAATAAAATAGCTAAACGGGTCACCGCATTATGCTATCGCACTACTATACTGTAAGAATCGGGGTAAAATAGGTGCGTTTGATGAAGTGCACCAATAGGGAAAGCCCAGATTAAGCCCGAGTGAAGTTTCATCCTAAAATCAATTAGTGAAAGGAAGAGTAGCCCACTAGACTTATAAGTTTGGCCTATTTTCCCTATATAAACGATGTTGGACAACTCACAAGTGATATTCTAACACACACCACACTAAATTAATACGATTGTACAATAGCAAATGCACTATATAAACTACTGCGATTACATTATGCTGTGTCACCACTCCATATTACAGTTATTGTCTGTAGGTGCATTATACCACTCATCATACGATCACACCATATTACAATTATCGTAATACTGCAACCACACCGTATTCTTACCACACAGGGACGGAGCCATACTAGGTCCAGGGGGGCCCATGCGCCCCCTTCATTTTTTTTCCAAAAAGTCAATATATATATACATATATATATATATATATAAATAAATAAAATACTATAAAATATGTATAGGAAGGCAAAAAATATGTACAACATATTAATAATTAAAACTTATTTTCTATATTATTTTTATTTAAATTAATAATATTATTTATATTAAAAAATGTACTAACAATTCATATATTGTACATTTCTAGATAAGTTTTTGGAAATATTTATAATAAATTACTCTTTCGGTCTATTAATTATAAATCGATTTAGTGATTTATAATACCGAGTATTTAGTTGGATTGGTACATTTTTAATGTTGATTTCTTACTCTTTTTTTTGTGTAATCACATTTTTTAATCTTATTTATTTTTTCTTAAAAAAATGATAATTTGATAAGCTCTCATCAATAAAAATGTTATGCAATGTAATGTAGAAGTTCAATTTAAATCAAATTTTCAATAAAAAAAAAACTTATTTTTTCATAATTTATAGATGTTGAAGTTAAATTATAAATACCTAAAATCTCATTTTTTTTAAGAAAAAAAAAAAGATTGAGGGTGATCGGATTCTAAGTTTTTAAAAACTTGATGGTACATATATCGATATTTATATTTATAGTAAATACACTGCTTATTTTTTTTTCTTTCGTCCTTTTCCCTCGCCCCCTATTTCTCCCTCGCTCGTCGTCTGCAAATCGCCGGTTTGTGCCTCTTTCAACGGTCGTCCGGGTTCACTGGAAGATGGCTTTCCTGCGGCGCATCCTTAATTCGGTCAGCGGCGCTCCCGTTTTGCGATTACAGCCAAAGGGATGGGCTAGACAGATTTTCTTTTCTGTGCGACGCCGCCGGCGTCCTGCGGTCCGGGGTTCGGGGGGTGTGTCGTCAACCTTTGGATGCGGCTTGGTTGCTCGTTTCAACTCAGGTATGGTCGATTTTTTTCTTGCCTGGCCTTGAAGTCCGCCTCGTTTCGATTTTCCTGTATCTTCGGAGCCCTCGTTCTGGTACTGTGGGGTGGTTGTGGCGGGGTTCGATTTTGAGCGCTGGATTGGGAGATTATCGATTGTTGGGTTGTGTTGTAGTGGTTGGGCCGGGATGCCATTCGAGCCCTTCCTCCTTTTTGCTCTTTCTGATCAAGAGGGAGGCCGACCGTGTCGAATATTGGCTAGTGGTGTTAGACAGTTTTGGTATGGCGAAGGATTTGGCTAGTGGTATTAGCCGATAGGTGGTCGATTGTGGTTTCTTGCGGTAGGAGAGCGGGTCGGTTTTTCTTGGTTTGTTTTGCGGCTTAGGTATTCGTCTTGCTAGGCTTTAGGCAGTGGCGGTCGGAGTTCTTGTGTTGCGGATCTTTCCATGAAATCGGCCTTGTCTGCTGTTCAATCTCGGACGTCTCTGCTGATGGAGGGTTGTTTGTTTTTGTTTGTTAGTAAGTGTTTCATTTAGGTCATTTCTTTGTATGTCTTGTCTAATGTTGTCTAGGATCAGTGTTTTTGGTTTGGGCCAGTTGGCCCCTGTGAGCCCGAGTATCATCTTATTATCCTGTTGGGATCAGATGCTCGAGTATTATCCTGGTGGGATCTTTTTAGTAGTTTCTGTTTGTTTGTGTGGTTGGTAGTAGTGTAGTTGCGAGTGTTTTTATTCTAGCTTTGCTAGTGTCGGGATTCTAGGCGGTCTTTTGACATGTCCTCCCACTTTTTCAGTCGTTCGCTGTTGTGTATTCGCACATTTGTGCACTTTAATTTATAATATTATCTATCGTTTTAGAAAAAAAAATATTTATAGTAAATACATTCATATATGATATGAGCGCTTCGACTTAAACTACAAGCTCATTATTTAACATTTAAAATCGAGCCCCCCTGAGTATAATTCCTAGATCCGTCATTGTTACCACACCAAGTAGTCTATAAATTAAAAGATCTATTTTCAAAGTTTCGACCAATTTTTTTTTTTTTTTTTTTAATTTTTTTTTTTTTTTTTTTAAATTGGGCTAAATATAGTTATCTCTGCTAGCTTACACAGCATTGGCTCACTGTGTCGTAACCATGTTTTAAATACCGTACCGTAACGGCCAATAATACCGATAATACCGGATACCAGCCATTGGTACGGTACAATTGCACATAAAATACCGGGTTTACGGTTATACCGGTTTGTACCGGGATCATACCGTAAATACCAGTCTAAAATACCGACCAATAAAAAAAAGACCCAAAAAAATATTAATTTAAAAACATAAAATTTAAATTAGTTTAAAATGTTTCATTTTTATCTCATTGAGAAGTTAATATTAATTATTATGGTTATTTATTTTTTATTTATTTTTTGTATTTTATATTATATATTTTTATGTATATGTATATATATCATTATATTTATAGTCCGGTAATACCACCGATATTACATGTCCGATCGGTAATACCGCGTACCGATGGCTAGATCGGTATGGCCATTTGACGCGGTATTAAAAACACTGTGTGGTAGGAAATAGAGCTCTTGAAGATGATTCCCAATAGTTGTATTTGTGACACGAAGTAGAGATGCTATAATATATAAAATGCATCATATATTTTTAAATGATTTAAATGCATCATATATGCCATGAAAGCTATAAAATATAATATGAAACCAAATTATTTATATGCCTCTGCCCTTTTTAATTTATAATCGTTACCAAATAATCGATGTAATAATTAGGCAAAAATACAAAAAAGATACACTAAGTTGGGCGTTGTCAACAAAAGAGACATTATGTTGTCCATCTCGGAAAAGACACGCGAAGTTGGCATTTTCGTCGGAAACGATACACTAATCACCCCTGCGGGATAAAAATCTGACGTGGCCTGATTATCTTATTACGTGGCATTTAGTCTTTCGGTATATTCATGCGTGGAATTTATGTGGCCGACACAGTGGACATGTGGCCTAATTTTGGAGGGAAATCCCAACACAAGAGTTGACCACCGAGGACCGAAGTATTAATTGCGGGAAAATCACAAATCAGATCCAATCCCTCATTTCGATCGGCCAGAATTAGGGTATTTCGAAGAACCCTAAAAATCGTAACCTTCAATTGGATCTCAATAATTCATTTCAAGTATCAAAACATCAATAAAAGAAAATCACGAAGATGTCAGCGTCTTCTTTTTCTTCTCCGTCGGACATTTTGTGCGGTTGTCTAGAGAAGGCCCAATTGAGGACTTCGAAGACGAGTCAGAATCCTGGGAAAAGATTCTATGGTTGTAAGAAGTGGAAGGAAGGAGGGTGCACTTTTTTCATGTGGGCCGAACCAACTTCTCAAATCAACTCGGAAACTTCGTCAGGTATGAATAATCAAGATTTGGGTTGTAAGGCTCAAGAATCTGAAATGAAGATTGTTTTGCTGGAGGCTGAATTGAAAGTTCTGAAGATGAAGATTACAATGCTTGAAGATTCCATTGGGAAATTTGATTCTCAAGTGAAGTTGATGATGGACAGGATGAAGAGAATTCACTTGTTTATTGTTGGTATTTGTATTGGTTTGATCTTATGTGTTTTAGTGAAATAAAGACTGAATTGTTCATTCAAAAAAAAAAGTGGGATCTGTTCTAATGTACTGAATATTTGTTGGTTGATTATGAAGTGGATTGATTTCTGTGTTTGTTGCTTATGAAGTGTATTGAATTGATATGTTGCAGAAATGTTTTTTTGACCAGTTAGCACACACTGAAAAAGACAAACAATAAGTATTAGATATTGACAGCTGAGATCAAAATTCAGATATTGCCAACTGAGATCACACAACAATTCAATAAGGTGTAAAAACACAACACTTTAAAACCAATCACCATTCACCATAAATCATCCATTACAAATTCAGATCCAAAAAACCATTCAAGCCAAAACAACATCTCATAACCATAACCTTCCCAAACAAAACAACACAGTTTTCACTTTTCACCATCACACCATAACCATAACCATTCACAGCAAAACAACTTTGAAGTACAAAACACAAAAAACTGTCAAGTTCATAACAACACATTCAGAATAATCATCAATCATCCATCATCACAGCAATTTCTGTTTTCCTCTGCCATCATCACTCTTCTTTGGATTGTTCATGCCAGATATAAGCTCAGACACAGATATGTACTTCTGTCCTCCTTCTTGAAATATTTGTTTGAGCCTAGTGTCCCTCTCTGAAAGGCAACTTTCTTGACTTGGTATAAATTGACCCACCTGAAATGTAGGAGGCCCTCTAATGTTCACCCCAGAAGTTGGACCCAACTGAGCAGAAGTATATTGATTGTACATTGAAGGTGCTTGAATGAATTTTGGGACTGTGGTTTGTTTTTTCCCTTCCTTTCTTTTCTTGTGGGCTTGGCCTTCACCCTGCAAGATAATTTACAATATAAATACAACTATGAATTTTCAATGATGAAATAAGGCACAAAAAAGTATTTCTTACAGTTACAACACTTTCTTGAGTTGAAATTCCTATTGCAGGAGCTTTGTCTGTCATCCTTCTAGCCTGAAGGAATAAAAATTTTCTTTTTAGTAAACAAGGTAACATAATTTGAATTCATTATTAAATTTAAACCAACATTATAAAAGTACCTTCAGCTTTTGAGGCCTATCTTCTAGACCAATGGCTGCAGGATCTGCATTACCTTCCTTCATTAGAAGGCAGCCTCTCTTGTTGTGGCCTTCCACATGGCAAACAGTGCACTTCAACCCTGTTTGCTGCCTTTTGATAGTATTGGCTGGAGTCACAAGTCGAGGCTTAACCCTTTTTTTTCTAATTCTTTTAGGTTGAACCTCATCAGGTTCCATTCTCCTCACTCTAGTGGGCCTACCAGCTGCTCTACCATTATTAGGTGGCAATGGAGGGGCATATCCTGTCCTTCTCCATTCTTTTCTGCCATTGATGGGCATTATGGCTGGAGCATAAACCTTTTTATAGGTCTCTGTTTTGTAGCATGGATGTATGAAATCATCAATGTTCCAGCCTTGAAAATGAATAGCACTTACTGCATGGATACAAGGAATTCCACTCAGTTGCCACCTCCTACAACCACAACTCTTGTTTTCCAAATCCACTTTGAACTGATCACCATTGAACACCTCAATTTGGAAATTGAAATCATTAGACTTCAATGGGATACAGTCAACCAAATTTTCAATATGGTTATCAATTATCTCCCTCACCTTAGGACAAAATAAAAAATCCCACTTTTCTGCCTTATCTCTATTCAGTTGCAACCTTTTCATCAGGTAATTCATGATCCACTCAAGCATTGATAAGATGGGCATACTTCTAGCTTCTAAGATGTTGCAGTTGAATGTCTCACAACCATTATTTAGCAACATGTCACACTTGGGAAACTCACTGAAATGCGACCTGCTCCATTGATGAGGTGGTTTGTCACTTAACCAGTCATAAGCACTCTCTTCCAACCCTTTCAGTGCATCCATTTTCCTTGAAAAATCATTGACTGTAGATGCTGTAGCTGCTCTCCAAACTGCATTCTTAAACCCAATCCCTCTAAAACCTGCATTTCTGAAGTTACCCAAAAGGTGCCTCACACAAAACCTGTGATCTGAGTTAGGCAACACTTGTTGAAAGGCCTGAATCAGTCCTTTCTGTTTATCAGAAATAAATGTCCACTCATGTTGCTTTTCAATCTCAAGGTCCAATTTCAACAGCAAAATGAACCACTCCCAGTTGTCTCTGTTTTCCTTTTCAACAATAGCATAAGCTAAAGGAAACAAGGAATTGTTAGGATCTACTCCCACAGCACATAGTAGCACTCCCTTGTTGGGGCCTTTCAAGTGACAGCCATCCACTCCAATGATGGGTCTGCAACCAGCTTTAAATCCAACTTTCAGTGCATTCAAGCAAATGTAGAACCTGTCAAACAAGTTCTCCTCCCTGGATTAGTCCTTTTAATCTCATCACAGTAATCCCAAAGAAGAGCATACTGGTCATTAGGACAACCAGTCTTTTCTGCAAGTGCTGTCATTTTTGCCCTATATGCTTGTGCTCTAGAGAATGTCACTCTCAGCTCCCTCACTTTATTGTCCCTAAAACCCTTAATCTTTCTATCAGGATCACTTTGCAGCTCATGAGCATATCTACCAGCAAGCCATCTTGATGTAATATTTTTAACCTTTGCTGTGGCAGCACAAGTATGAGTGTGAGTGTACTTTATCACTTGCCAGGCCTCCTCTCCATTGATCTTAGTTGCATGCAGCTTTCAATTACAAGCAGCATCAACACATTTAGCATGAACATACTTCCTATCTCTTCTAGTTAATTTCACACTTCTTTTGCATTTGACTGAATTGCTGTCCTTAGTTCACCTTTGGTACTGAAAACCAAACCTACCCTGAAAGTAGGATCATATAACTCTGCAGTGTTGAAAATAGGATACTGGTGACCTACATTCTTTCCTTCAGAACTATCATCACTATGCAAATCATCACAATTGACCACATCAGTTTCATTTTCAACTGAGATACCATCATTTGCACATTTCTTAACACCTTCCCCTTGACCATGCAACCATTCAGCATCAAAATCCACATTATCATCAAACATCTTGTCATCTACCTTGTCAGCTTCCATATCATACTCCCAATCCAAAATATCATCATCACTCTCCTCACTATCCTCACTTTCCTCACTCTCCCCACCAATACCACCATCAGCATCAAACCCACCATTCTTAGCCATAAACTCAGCAACCTCATCCACGACCTGATTTAAATCTTCATCACTCTCCTCACCCTCATCAACCTTCTCAGCCTCAATCTCAACCCCAAGCTCACCCTTCTCAACCCCAAGCTCAGCCTCACCCTCACCCTCACCCTTCTCACCTCACCCTTCTCACCCTCACCCTCAACCTCACCCTCCTCTGCCTCAACCCCAACCTCAAACTCAACTTCATCCACATTTTCATCAAACAAGATGTCATCCAACTTGTCAACTTCACTATCATTCTCCCACTCCAAAGTTTCATCACTATCATCTTCACCATTCTCACCCTCACCCTCACCCTCACCCTTCTCACCCTCACCCTCAACCTCACCCTCCTCTGCCTCAACCCCAACCTCAACCTCAACTTCATCCACATTTTCATCAAACAAGATGTCATCCAACTTGTCAACTTCACTATCATTCTCCCACTCAAAAGTTTCATCACTATCATCTTCACCAACCGCATTTTCAATTTCAGGTGCATTAACAATTTCTGTATTTTTACTTAGCTCTTCAACAAACAAACTAACCTCCCTAACCTTGTTAATTTGTCTTTGCAACACACTCTCAAGATCAGTCTCAGTTGAAAGTAACATGAAACTCCCACAACCAACATATGTGTGCAGTCTCATAGGATTTTTGCACCCTTTAAATTCTGCCACAGACTTAAAGTCAGCAAGTGTGACCGTTTCATAATCCACATAGTCAAACAATATTGTACTCCCACCTAGATATGCAGAATATTTTTTCCCAATATCAAATTTACCCCCAAATTCTAGGGTGACTGTGAAGAATTTACTAGTTGAACCTGCAGTAACAATAAAAATTACAATGAAAAAGCATCCAGGAAAGGAAAATAGTGTAGACTGACAAAATTAAAATTAAAATTAAATCATTATTTCTTCATTGTGACAACCATGTGACTGCCCACATCGGCTCTTTTCTCAGGAAAAAAAAAACATTAACAAGTATGAGTGAATTCATTGGAAGAAGAAAAAGAAAACCATGATTTAACATACTATATCTAGGAGCTGGGGAACATTCTTTGTCACTGGGTCGTATTTGAATCTCGCAGTCGGAAACACGAAGGCCTCTTGCTAACTTCAAAATGGGATTCGATTTTCGAACTGGTTTTTTCTTCATTGTGACAGTGTTTGATTGATTAAGGTCGAAATTGATGTAAGTGATTGAACTGGAAGATAATCTAGGTTAGTTTTTCTTCATTATGTGAGTGATTGAGGTCGAAATTGAAATGAAGATAATCTAGGGTTTTTTCTTCACGTTTGAAATGAAATAGGGGCGGGGCAGACGTACAGGTGTGTTGGGATTTCCCTCCAAATTAGGCCTCCTGTCTACTGTGTCGGCCACGTAAATTCCACGCATGAATATACCGAAAGATTAAATGCCACGTAATAAGATAATCAGGCCACGTCAGATTTTTATCCCGCAGGGGTGATTAGTGTATCGTTTCCGACGAAAATGCCAACTTCGCGTGTCTTTTCCGAGATGGACAACATAATGTCTCTTTTGTTGACAACGTCCAACTTAGTGTATCTTTTTTGTATTTTTGCCTAATAATTACATAATTATATCCGACCTTTTAAGTTGGTGTTACATCAGTTATTATTCTTCTTTTTATATCCCTCAATTATTTAGTCAGTAATGTTTATTAATCATTTTATGAACAATGAATTTGAAATTGATAAAACGAAATGAAATGGTTGATAAAGAAAAGACATGCACACGAGCTTGACCACGAAATAATGTCGATTAGCTTTTGTAGCTAATTTGGCCCTCTTAATCACTTTACACTTAGTCGCTTTAGTGGCAAAATAGACATCCCATGTAGAGGTTGGCCAAGTATATGTTACATCTATCAAAGTTTGACCCCACAAAAAACACTTACGTTCAAAATCATGGATAAGTCAATCGTTTTTTTTTTTCTTTTTTTTTTTCATGGCATGATTGGTACAATGAAATAAAATTTGATAGGAATTGAATGAGTTAAAAAATGGAATGAATTTGAGAATGAAATGGAACCAGTTTTTTTATTGATGTGTTTGTTATGCAGAAGGAATTAGACCTGAATGGAATGACAATATTATTCTATATTATCATTTATGACTATTTTATATATAAAAAAATTAATATTTATATTAATGTTATTTTTTTATTTATGATAATAATATTAATTTTTTAAAATATATTATATTTTAATAAATATTTTTTTGTATTTTTACCAAAATATATATATTATATAATAAATTAGTGAAATCTGTATTCATATACATATTAGCTAATACAAATATAGCATTACATAAACCCCTATACGCATATGTAGTCGAATATAATTTTTTATATTATAATTCAATTTATGAATAAATTTATAATATATATGATTTATAAAAATAAATAATATCTTTTTAAATTATTTATAAATGCATTTTTAGTTTTATTTTTATATAAGATGGTGCATGTGCGTATGAGAAACTTAGAAACATTAGAATAAGAACGCAAATCAAAAGTGTGAGGGCAGACCTAAGAAAACTTGGAAGAAAATAATAAAAAATAATTTTACATACTTAAATTTGAATGTTGATGTGTGTTTTGATCGAGCACGATGGCGAGTCGGCTTCATGCGATCCATAGAGCCAACCCCACTTCGTGAGATTTTAACGGCTTGTTGTTGTTGATGTTGTTGTTATATAAGTATTTAATATATCTAATTAAAATATGAACAATAAATAAAATAAGTTCTTAAATTTTTTATTTGAAAATTATTTTTTGGAATTACTTTATTTAATATAATTTAATCATAATTTATAGTATATATTATAAATTTATTTATTATTATTATTTGTTAATTTTATTTTTTGAGAAAATAATTCCTACACATATGAGATTCGGAAAAACCTTGCATTTGATATGGAATGACTAATCCCATAGAGATGAGTTTTGCAATTCCCATTGGAATGGTCATTCATTTCCAAAAAATATACAAATCATGGGATAAGGAATGAGTAAGGGAATGAACATTCCATTCCCATGTCATTCCTTCATACCAATTATGCCATAAATGTTACAATTCTTTTTTGGTCGAAACGATAGAGATTTTATATATAAAGGCGCACAAATGTGCAAGAGAACAGCCCCCAGCTGAATACAAACAGCCAACGGCTGAATACAACCAGCTAACAACTGCATAAAATGGGAGGACAGGTCAAAGACCGCCTAGAGCCCGACCCCAATAGGGTAATACTCGGGAACACACAAAAAACACAAGAAAACACTAAAAACGACCCCCACAGGGTAATACCCGAGTGTACGGTCCCCACAGGATAATAAAGTCACACTCGGGTTAACTGAGGCCAACGACCCAGACCTAAAACACAATAACGAACACGAGACATAAACAGACACAAACGACACAAACAACGACACACTAAAAAACTAAAAATGCCAAGCAAAGCAGAAACAAAATCCTCCCTCAGCAGCTCGGACTAGCAAAGCCAAGTGGACTTAAGATGACCCAAGATAGGTCCGCAGCTAAAGAACCGCAGCAGAAACAAATATCACTAACTATTTTACGTGGTTCAGTCTAACCGTTATAATATCAAATGTCATCTTTGTAATTTTATTTTTTTAAATTATGTTATTTTTTAATGAAAAAATGTATTTATAAAATTATTATGTCGACCTTAATGGTTAAGCATACCTAACACAAAATCAACCTTTAAAATATATATGTACATTATATTTCAAAATTTAATTTTCCATTTTCTTTACAAACTTGAGTTTGTATATTTGA